AAGGTAAACCACCAGTGCTTCCGAGCCTCTTTTTACTGAGGCTCCCCTAGGCAAGTTAAACCACCAGTAATTCCGAGCCTCTTTTTACCGAGGCTTGAAATGCCCTGCGCGCCCAGAAAAATTGACTTGGCGCGGGCCTCCTTCAGGTTGGTGCCGCCAGCCCTTTTGCTCCAGCAGCCGACCCCTGAAAGTTGCAGCTTGCATGCAGCCGTGTTGGGATAAAATGGCTGGGAAACGTACCGGTGGTTAACGTAACGAATGGTTTTAAGGTGCTCTTTGTTTTCAAACCCCTGCTACGATTTCCTATGAGGGACTGAGCTGTGGACATGGGAGGCAAAGGAAAAAAAAAAAAAAAAACAGTCTTCACCAGAATAGCACGACGCTGTTCTTAAGAAACATACCTCAGTGACACACCAAAGGCGCCCAGGAAGCAGAACAACGCTGCCCGGCCCATCCTTTCCCGTCCTCAAAACCACCTTCACATTTGCGAGATAGCATTTATTCCCTAACGACGAGTTTCAGTTCTGCCCCTCCCATGCCATTCACTCTTTCCCTTGGACAATATTGTGAGTGAACGGTATCGGAGAGGCAGAACTGAAACTCGTCGTTTGTGAGTGGATGGTACGGGAGGGGCAGAATTGAAACTCGTCATTTGGCATCATGAGGATGCAATACAGGAATGGTTGAAGGTATGGGAGGGGCAGAATCGGAACTCGTCGTTTGAGTGAATGGTACCGGAGGGGCAGAATTGGAACTCGTCATTTGGTATCGTGCGTACGCAAAAAAGGAACGTTTGAAGAATCTGAACGCTCACAAGTCCTACAGCTATTACTGGGAAAGAGGACAGAGAAATGGTAGAGTGAATGGTGTAGCTATACACTCCCTGTGGCTGGCCTTCTCTCCTCCTACAGGAGGCCACCCTCTTCTCCTTCTCCTAAAGGAGGCCACCCTACCCTCGTCTCCGGAATATAACGCACAATCATTAAAACGGTATGTGGGGCAGGTTTTAGTCTAGATACAGTGGTAATGACCAAACGTTCTATTCGGGGGAACACGAACAGGCCAGACGGCTAGGCATTAAGGCCAATCCGGGTCCGACCCAGATACCGACCAGGCATACAGGACTCGAAATCAAATCCGAACCCACAAATTGCATCCAGATTCAAACCCAAATTCAATCCACAGATTCAAACCCACAAATTGAATCCAGATTGAAACCCAAATTCGGTCCAGATTCCAACCCACAAAGTGGAGCCAGATTCCAACCCCCCAAATTACACTTCCCCAGGTCAATCCAATCGAAAAAAATTCAGATCTCTGAAATTTATAATCGAAATCAACTTCAAGTTCAAGTTCAAGTTCAAGTTCAAATCCAAACCCAAATGCAAATCCTAAAAGCCTAGAACAGAGCAATACCGGAAATCAGTCGAATTGGGGGTTAAAAAAAATGAACAGCAATTCAAAACAGATTCAAAAACCAAAAAAAATACAAAAAATCGAAATTCATCAGAGTGTGGAAGAGGGCAACTGAAGCCCCCTGTTTTGTTTCCCTTTCGTCCCTTTTTGTTTTGGACTGCTTTTTCTTTTGGTTTGTTTTTTTGTGGAACGGAAGTAAAGGGGTGCAGTGTCTAGCAATGTCCTCGCAAGCGAGCTGGCATGGTTTAACTCCTTCCATCTTTCCCTTTCTCTCTCTTTTTTGGGTTTCTTTCCCTTTTTGTGTGTCACGTGTGCAAGCAAAAGGGAGACATTCAGCGCCCATGCCTTTTCCCTTTTGTGACATTCAGCGTCCATGCCTTTTCCTTTTTGTGGTCCTCGTTTCTTTTTTTTCTTTTTTTTCTTTTTTTTTTTCCCCCTTCGACTCTTGGTGGCCTAACGAAACAAGCGTAGGAAAAAAAAAAAAAAAAAAAAAAAAAAACAAGCATAGGATACTTCGTTGCCAGGTCAGGTTCGTGGAAGAAGGTTTGAACTTTGAACCTGGTTCTTCACACTCCAGCCCTAGGGCAATTTGTAATACAGGTCCAGCCCAGAAACACCTGGATTAGGAAGCAAATACACTCCAGCACATGGCATCCTGACTCGAAGGTATCATGTAAGTTCAAAGCTGTAAGAAACTGCTCTGACAGTACAAAATATACAGCAGAGTTTACCATCAGATTTTTGAAGGACGGACGAGGTTCGTTCGCAAGCAAGCGAGGGCCTAGGTTCGTTCTTTCACTCTCAAGCAAGGACCTAGGTTCAAGCAAGGGCCTAGGTTCAAGCAAGGGCCTAGGACATAGGTTCGTTCATTCGCTCTCAAGCAAGGACCTAGGATCGGTTTTTCACTCTCAAGCAAGGACCTAGGTTCGGTTTTTCACTCTCAAGCAAGGACCTAGGTTCGGTTTTTCACTCTCAAGCAAGGACCTAGGTTCGTTCTTTCCCTCGCAAGCAAGGACCTAGGTTCGGTCACTCAAGAACCTACAAGGTTCAAGCAAGGACCTAGGTTCGTTCATTCGCAAGCTTCGTATTCGGAGAAGAAGCCGGATCCAGTTTTTTTCGGGGGACAGGATTTGAGCTCTCCTGCCGCTCCTCCTTAAATACCGCCTTCACAAAAATAAAACGCACGGTCACTCATACACGATCCTTCCCCATCCACCCACCTCATGAGACGACTATCAATCGCCTGAGGGCATAGTCACACTAGCACTCCCTTATATGTATCTCACCACAAATACGACCAGTCGTGAGTGAATCCAACTGCAATCACATCCACAGCTTAGTAAAAACATCCTGTGTGGATGCCCTACTTCGAAGGAAAGAGAGAGAGAGAGAGAGAGAGAGAGAGAGAGCACCCATCTCACAACCGTTAAAGCTGGCAGCCAATCAGACGCAAAGCAAGCTAGATATTAATCGAAATATTAATCGAACGACCCACCAAGCAATGAATCGCGTAAACAAATCATGAGAAAACTAAGATTATTATCATAGTATAACTTTCTGTTCTAATAATTCTAATAATAGAATTAATAATACAATTCTAATAGAAGCTAATTAATTAATAATCATTAATAATTAGTTAAAAAATCAACACCAACTAGTTTATCTACAGAAACCACCCGCGTCGACTCTTCGGGCCTATGTAGTTGCACCACTCGCCATCCATCAACTAGATTCTGAATGCATCTCGACACAGCCATTGTCCAGAATCATTCAACATGTCGGCGGAGAGAGAGAGAGAGAGGGAGAGGAAAGAGAAGCGCTCGTCCATCGGCGGGAAGGAGAACGATGACTACGGTTTGCAAAATTATTCCGTCAGGAACCAAAATATGCAATCAGAGCCCATCTCTCTCTCTCTCTCTCTCTCTCTCTCTCTCTCTCTCTCTCTCTCTCTCTCTGTGTGTGTGTGTGTGTGCCATGTGGCAGCACTAAACACGGTTCACGACCTTCACATGAGTACCTCTGCCACGCGGCAGCATATACCTCCGACAGGTGGCAACAGATAAGCCACGTAACAGGTCTGAAACGTGGCAGCAGATAAGAATGTTATCATTTTTTCGAGAAAGCGACCGCGCGTATATAAGAGGCCGCTTTATCTTATACAAAGGTGCCTTCGCCCCCTAACCCCCTTCTTCCCCTAAATTATAATGACCGTGCATTGTATTCGGGGGAAGGAAGAAGGGTGGAGTCAAGAAGATCTATCATCTTCAATCTCTTCTTATGCAGAATACTCGTCAATACTTAGTGATCGATTGTACATCGAATCGAAGCATTTGGACCATCAAATATTATTGACGAGTATTCTGCATAAGATTAGCGCCAGGTTCTTCGGCCTTCTACGTACCAGGGACAGCCGTTCCTAGAAAATCTCAGCGTATCTGTTTCATACAATTATGTACGACCATGACGATGATTGTGACAAGTAAATGTGGGGGCAACAATGACAAATTGCCTCGCTGCACCTCTCACAAGATCTGCTGCAAAATGGGAATGAATCTTTCCAGCAGAACGTGGAAAGATACACCAGCATAATTTTTGCCCTTTCTGAATTTGCTGAGTAGTGCGACGCCGCCCAGAAATCTCGACATGACAACGCGTCCTCTTCTTTTTTTTGTTTTTTTTTTTTGTTTTTTTTTTTTTGTTTTGTTTTCTTTTTTCATTTTCATCATCTCATCTCAGGGCGATGATCATGATGACCATCTCGAAGATAATAGTAATTAGGGTTATGGTTTTCAATGGTTAAGGGCCTCGCTCCGCTACTCGATATTCCAAATGAAACTGGACTAGATTTTGGACCAGATACCTTCGGACTGATCGAACACTTTGAATGTATCGAAAAAATTGCGCGGTCCAGATACATTTATAGAGTGTCTAAGGTGTAGCGATCCCCTATGATTCTTATTATGATTATTATCATTGTTATGATTATTATGATTATTATGATTGTTATCATTGTTATGATTATTATGATTATGATACGAATAAAGTTTGTTGTGATATAATTATGATTGGGTAATCATAATAATTCTCAATCTTGTGACGAGCAATTAATGAGCACAATACATACAGTAAGAAGATAACCAAGGAGAACTTAAAAAGCCAACAATTAAAAAAAAAAAAAAAACTCGAGAACACACGTCCTGATTGTGTAATCAATGGAAAACTCGTGTTAGGAAACAAGCCATTCTATTTGTATCTGGACTAGATCATGATCGCGATACAACGGACCGATATTTTGAGTGTATCGGGACCATTGCAACATCCAAATACATTGAGAATGCTGTGTACTGGAGCGAGGCTTATGACGGAGGATGAAGGACTAGGCACACACCATTATCGACGACTTCCTGCAATAAATCAAATAACTTATATAGATAGTAATATATGCAGGGTTACCGGCGTTCGGGACGGGCCGAACGCCCGAACGTACGGGACCCCTTCGGGAGGCGTTCGGCCGTTCGGGCCGAACGCGGACCAACAAAAAACAAAACAAAGTTTTCAAAATATTCCGAAAAAAAAACTATGTTATGGAGAAAACTAAAATAAACAACATTTGCCTGGGCACTACATCCAAATTCTTTACGAAATTTGAATTAAAAATCCAATACAGAAAATAACCACTATGATAAAAATAAGAAAAAATAAAAAGAGAATTAAAATGAGTGAGTGTGCCAGCACCTTTTCGACACCGCCATCTTTGCCGATTTTTAATTACTTTTTGGCATTGACAAATGCCCTGAAAATTTACAGATATGTAGTTTACATAATCAATAACTCATTAAAAAGTTTTCAAAAAATAATAATATTTTTTAGGCCCCGAAATAAAGTGAAAACAAAAAGTTAAAAGTGAAAAAAAAACAAAATAGTGAGTGGGCGGGCACGTTTTGACACCCCCATCTTTGACGATTTTTAATGTTTTGTTGGCTTAGCAGAATGGCTTCAAAATTTATAGGCGTATAGTTTACATCATAGACAACTCACAAAAAAAAATTCAGAAAAGAAAATTTATTTTTAGGCCCCGAAATATTTTTTGGCGGCGGCCGAACCTGGAGGTGTTCGGCCCCCGAACGCCCGAACGTTCGGGGGCCAGCCCGGGGCCCCCCGAACAATCGGTCAGGTAACCCTGGTAATATGTATAAAAACTAAACATCTACAATAAATCAATAAATTATATAAATAGTAATATGTATAAATACTAAACATCTACAATAAATCAATAAATAATATAAATGGTAATATGTATAAATACTAAACATCTACAATAAATCAATAAATAATATAAATAGTTAATATGTATAAATACTAAACATCTACAAATAGTACATAAATGCTAATGATAACTTATTGATTCATACCTCTTAGGGGCGACAATAAGGGAAAAGGTAAAGAGCCCGGCGCCGGCAATTCTATTTTCTCCTCCCCCCCCCTCCTCCCCTCCCCCCCCCCTTGTTGCTCCTTTTGGTCTTTGGGTTGGCGCTGCACACTTCTCTCCACATGCGCAAGGGGCAAAACATATGGCTGTGTACCTTTCCATGTTCTGAATGGATTCATTCTCATTTTGCACATTGGGTGAGCAGTGGAGCGAGGCCCATGGTACACCGCCGATGCCTTCAATCACTCTATTATGAATTGTCATCCAGACAAACACGAATTCATCCCTTAAAGAGTCCGTCTATATGCAATGAACACATTCGTGGTTGGGGGGGGGGGGGGAGGACGACAGAAGCACGCATAACGACAAAAACGATAACCCATAAACTCTAAACATGAAAAAAAAAAAAAGAAACTCTACCCATGACAGGCACAGTCTGCTGCCGTAAGCAAACACCACATGATCTTCAACTAGCGTGACTCGTCCAGTTCACTCCTACACTCACACATAATCAAAGTCTGGAAGAAATTCATCCATAAAAATAAAAAAGAAAGCAAATTTCCGCTCTCACCCTGAAACATAAACACTACCTTATCCTTGAAATTAGGGTGAATTTTAACCATAAACGAAAACGCATAAGCCCTTTCCTCTCTCTCTCTCTCTCTCTCTCTCTCTCTCTCTCTCTCTCTCTCTCTCTCTCTCTCTCTCTCCT